TGGACTGCTTTTGGTTGTCCCAGTTGTCTCTGAATTATTTTATGATCATTTTATGAGCAATAAAGAAAACAAGATTTTTGTACTTACCATGAAATCCATGTCTTGGAGTTCATTAAAGGACCCAGGTCCCGCCCGTCTGTGTTTTTGTAATCTACTCCTAATAATGCTTTACTACAAAACTGAAGCATGATAGTAGTGGGTACACCTGGCTGGCCAATGGCTTTTTTTGTTTGCCAGTGTCCTGTTCCTCCAGTAGGTAAATTGCTTATGCTGTGTCCCCTGATGAACTGTATGCAACAGATTATACAGTAAGTACAAAAATCCTGTTTTATGGTGTTAAATCCCCAGTGACTTAATTTGTGATGCAGGTTAGAATGATGGGAAGCATCTGTTATGGGCAGCCTGAACATGGCTATTTCCTCCAGGTGTCCTACATGCTTGCCAACGGTCCTTGATTTCCAAGGAAGTAATTTAGGATATGTCCTTGGAAACAACTCGGGTTTTTATTTCTGAACAATACTTAAAATCTTTTTTTGGAATTCTACATTTAATTATTATAATTGTAGACTGCTGTTAGTGCTTTTAAAAGCAGTACAATGGAGAAAAATTATTTTATAAAGCTAGTTACATTAAAAAAATGGTATTGTAGTTTGCCATATCATTTTTCATATTTGTATGCCTTAGATATAGGGATTGCACCACATTATAATTTTAGTGCTGTTTATGTTTTGCCTTTACCTGTGTGCTGAGACTCCAATCTGTGCTGTGAAATATATATTATTAATCCCTGCTCCTATTACTATGCCTGCATCATCTCCCATGTGTTAACTGGATCATTGGAACTCAATGTTTCTGTATCCTCTGTTTTTCACAGATGTTCCAAGTGATCTATGGAGAGAAGCCCCTTTACATCCAGGCCAACAACTGTGTAGAGTTGAATGAATGGATAGAGGTGCTGAGTAGAGTAAGCCGACGCAATCAGGGGAGACTCTGCAAATATCACTCCTCTGCATTCATAAATGGAGCCTGGCTCTGCTGCAAGGCATCATCTGAAAGTGCTGAAGGCTGCCATGTGTGCACTGTGTAAGTGTGACTAAAGGGTTACATTGGCAAAAGGGGATCAGTTTTATTAAGCATGTTAATATTGCCAAAGTGTCAGGAAAATGCGAAATCAGTGTTTAGGTCTAGTTACAGATATGTGGAAATAGAATTCACAGAATTGCAAAGATCACATCACTGAACAGCTCTTGGATAATCTCTGATAACAAAAAGCATTAAACTTCTGCATGAAAAGAAAATGTACCTAGCCGAAATCCATCTTTCATTATCGGCAGAGTGTTCATTGATGGCCATCATGTCTGTAGCATGGTTTACTCAACAAATTCCCTAGCAGGGTGTCAAGTGAGCAAATTTTATGGTAGAGTGTGATAGGGGGACATGTCCCTGACAAAATGCTGCTTGTGGTCAGCATACTCCACATACTCTCACCAAACAATATGTTAAAAACATTATACTAATACTGGGTTGGGTCCCCCTTTGCTCTTTAAAACATCTTCGTATTTTTTATGGATTTCACATTCCATAAAAATTCCTTTAACAATTTCTGCAGCTTTGTCACCTACACGTTCATTCTGCAAATAGCCCAGTCTACCACAACTCAAAGGTGTTCTATTGGATTAAGATCTACTTGTCTGGGAAGATCACTGAAAAACACTGAGCTTCTTATCAGGCTCATAAAACCAATTTGAAACTACTTTTGCTTTATCTTTGCAACTGTCCAGTTATGGTAAGTCTGCAGCCTCTGCTTTCTGTTCTTGGCTGATAGGATTGAAACCCCCACGTGGTCTACTTTTGCAGCCCAACCGCCTTAAGGTTCAACATGATATGCATTCTGAGACGCATTTCTGCTCATCACATTTGTGAAAAGTGGTTATCTGATTTACTTTAGCCTTCCTGGCATGTTGAAAATGACCCCTCTCATTAACATGGCGTTTCCATCCATAGAATTGGCGCTCACTTGTGGGTTTTTTTGTTGTTTTGCTTTTCACATCATTCTTAGTTAACTCTAGAGACTGTGTTATGTTGTGTATTCTAGTGTTTGATGTGAACATTTCATTGAAGTGCCTGAATCTGCTTAATTGTATGCATTCGGCTGCCCTCACATACAGTAATTGCATGAAAAAGCAAGTGTATATGTGTTTCTATTACATTGCCCCGTAAGTGTATATCTGACAGTTTCTCATGGGCACAGCATGACTCTGGAACATGTCATTGGGCCTCCATCCTTAGCCCAGCAGCTGCTGCCTATGTGAACATGCATCAGTCACCTTCACTGCCACTGCTGCAAATCTGCTGAATAAACTTGGTCAGCACAGAGAACAGTGTATTAGCTCTTAAATATGTGTTACTTATATATTTAGTGTACATTTCCGTGTACAGTGTCCCGCTAATATTCATGTGGCGGGAACGGTGTTGGGGTATTTGTGAGTATATGTGTGGACACTTGGAATGCATGAGTAGGACAACAACTCTCTTGGGCTAATTATTTTGCTCTGTTAGTAACCCTCTGGTGAGTGACACTAAAGGATTACTTTCCATAGGAAGTAAATATTTAAGACAGAGAGGACAGGATGTTAGCGACTTTCTGTTTCAATATTTGTATTATTTTGTTAAGAACAAACAGAAAAATTCACACAATCCACATCCACAGTACAGAAGAGATACACAATTGGATAAGTAACCTTTTACAAACTTGCTGATTAAATACATTTACCCCGGTAAGCTAAGATATGATAGACAACTAGCGAGTAGAGCCATATTACGAGAGACAACTCTTGAGGATGCAGAAATGGTAACAAATTGGATGTTGATGACTTTCAGAAATGTAAGTTATATTGGGATTGAGGTGCAGGCTGTAAGAAACCCTTCATGTTACTATGTGGAAATATATAAAGGAATGGTTCTCTTTTAAAGTGAAGGTTTCCTTTTAAACATTTAGGTTGTGCCCTGTTATGTTCTTTGCAGTTGTATCTGTAGCTCAGAAGAGTTGAGTCTGTAAGCAAGAAGTGTCTGGCTTCCATCACATTTATGACATGGGAATCAGAGTCCCTGCAGCTGTGTATCAGAGTGTTCTGTGCTTGGTACACTGTGTCATGAACTAATACCTTACTGTAATCTTCATATTAACAGAAATGTTCCAGCTGACGTAGCATTGGATATAGATGGAGACCGTGAATGTGAGAGGATATATTCCCTATTCAGCAGGAGCATGCCAAAACTACAGAAGATGGAAGGTAACATTTTCATCACTGCTTCTCACAGTGGTGTTTTATGGGCTTGCCCATCCATATGCTAGTTTCATTGGAGTTTGTTCACTTATCATTATTCAGCATTATGCCAAGATCACTACTATGGGGCATGATAACAGTATTCAGCGCTATCTCCTTACATTCCCCTGAATGAACACTTTTTTATAAATAACACAACAAATCCCTCTGATGCTACCCATACATGGTGGATTGGAGTCACAAAGGTGGCAAAACTTGAGCTAGCAGAACCTTTGCATACATGGTTAAGAGTGTCTGATACAGTTGTTTGGCACACCTTAAACTTCCAGAATACAGTACAGAAAGTTCTGTATTGTTCATACAATCACCGCTTTGGTAGTTAAAGTAACTTTTCGCTACCAACAGTCAGAGCATATAAAGGCAACTTTGCATGCATGAAGGGTTTCTTACAGCCTGCACCTCTTTTCAACTGCAGTGTTAGAAGACTTACTCAGGTGCCCTATCCCTAATCTATTGAATTTGGTTAAGTAAAACTGATTGGTGTTGTCTGCATTTATTGGGAGTGAAGTGGCCACAACCACCCTGACTGCAAATAAATATGGAGAAGTGTGGTTACTGTAACCCTCTGCGATGAAAAAGAAAGATCACCTGCAAACATAACCTATGAGGTATATATTCAATCTGTATAGTGCATCTTTATTCATATTACAAAGAAAGCAGCCTAAAACACTTAAAAATGATGCAGGGTCATGCATCAACTTAGTCCAGACAATAGCTCACTATATAGTATACATACAACAGTCCTCTCAAATTATGAATAGGACAAAAAAAAATAAATATCCATTCACTTGAATGGCCCGCCACGCCCCCTCCTGCCCCACTAAAAAGTGAGCCGGCCGCAATGCGAGGCAATGCGTCGGGCCAGAACTGCATCTTGTGTGACTGAGCCCTTATTGTCCCTGTTTTTTTCACCACTTACCAGCTGTCACTCCCAAAAATAGTACTAGGTCTTATTTTCGGGGTAGGTCTTATTTTTGGGGAAACAGGGTAGATCATTGCTACCAAAGGAATTTATATAGTCTTATCACTTCCAAAGTCATACAAACACGCATATAAATACTGTAGGGCTTTTCTTTTTTTGTGTGCCAGTTAACAAACCTTGTTTGGGGAAAGGGGATGGAACAGCAAAATACATTGAGGGCAATTCACGAAAACTGGAGAGACATAATTTGTAGCAGCTGTGCACTACAACCAATCAGTTTCTGTCTTTCATTTTTAAAGCTTAAAGGAGAATTATGAGGCAAGTGATTTTCACTCATCCTCATATTTCTAGTTTTTTACCTGTGACAGTTTCATTGTCACAGGTGGGTTCAGTAGATTGGGAAGTGAGCGAACACATACCGGCGCTCGCTTACTTCTCACTCCTGTCACTGCAGAGAGCCGTGACAGGGAAGGGACTGGATTCCCCCCTCCCCTGTCCGATCCTCCAGCGCTGACTGGTGGAACGGGAGGGGGCGGGTACAGCTGGCTCTGCCTCTAGATAGGCAGAGCCAGCTGTCACTCACGCAGCTAGGTGGATCCAGGTATAATTGTCGGGATCCGTTTCAGGTGCGGCGTCTCAGTATACCGCTAGCTGCAGCTCGTGGTATATTGAGCCTAGGGTGATGGGAGGACGCTAGTTTGTGTCCTCCCGTTACCCTTAGGAGAACTATGGGGGAAAGCCCTAACCCCATAGTTCTCCTTAATTGAACAAGCTGAAGATATAAGCTGATTGGTTACTTGGCACAGCTGCTCCCAGGTTCTGTCTGATCCAGTTTTTCTAAACTCCCTCCAGTATATTTGCAAATTAAATTTCCATACTTGGAAAGCTTAATGTGAAACTATAGATCCACATAGGTTCTTAGTTGGAACTTGGTTATCACGTGAATAAGATGATTTTTTCTCTTTTTAGAGGCTTGTGGTAGCATTGCAGTGTATCAAGGTCCACAGGAGCACAGTGAATACCACTTTACCATCGATGATTCCGTGGAGACCTTCAAGACCATCCAACAAATTAAAGCAATAGTAGAGAAGCTAAACGAACCTCACGAGAAATACAAACGACATTGTACAAGTGCAAAATATGGCAGCCAGTAAGTATCAGTAATTCTCAAGATGACTAAAAGATAATTCTCTTGCTGTGTCAGTTATCTTTCTTCTTTTTCATTTGTTGAGGGACATAGGAAGGCTTAATCCTTTGGGTTATAATGCTGCCGACAGCGGGGGAAAAAACTGTGGGTCAGCCTACGGTATAACTCCTCCTACTACCAGCATGCTTTAGTTCTTTTTCCTCTTGTCCTAGGAGGACAGATTACTTTTTAAGACTAGCCTGTGCTCTTCCTAGCAATTTTCTCTTTTTTTTCTTCAGTGAAGATTCTTCTTTACACCATTGCTGGAGGCTTCCCTCCAAATTTGCAGATATCCAGCACAGTTGTCCTCAGCCTGGTTTTTGGATCATACCGCATCTAGACCCCGCTGGACTAGACACTGTGGGGCCAGGATGTGTACTGGGTTCTGTGTGGGATGCTTTACAGACTCCATTCTGGTTAGGTTAGCTGTAGAGCACTTTATGGGTCCCGAGCCACTGGCATGGCCTCTGCTCTTGCTCTGAAGAATCACTTAGTGAGTAGGCAAGTCGGGACGGGCTGAGCATCAGGCGCTTCCTCATTTTTCATTGGTCACTGAGCGCCATTATTGCCTGTTTCTCGCTGGTTTTGCTGTGAAAAGAGGTTAACACTGGTGGATAGAGCACTGACTTGATCCACTTTTGCACACTCCCTGCTCTCTTTCCCACAATACAGTATCAAGAAAGCATCTATCCACTGCTGCTTCTTTTGCAAAGAGCCAGACTTTGTTCTTTGATCTATTCCTGCTGCGTGCATACAGTGCATTTGGTCACTCTCCGCCGTCCAACCCTCTGGTCGCAAACCCTCACCTGTTACTAGCGCTCCAGGTTTAGTGAATACTTGAGGCCATGCCTCTTATACTGAGCCTATATGTTGCCTAACTGCACTGAGCTGCAACATGTCTGATTCTAGACTGGGGAGGGAGTAGGACTTAGTCCCGTTTCACCATGTGCCCCTAGGCTGGGTCCTGTACTCTGCTGAAGTTTTTTACTGAGGTCATGCAGGACTTTATGATCTAAATTATCCAGTTCTTTTCTGACTCTGATTGCAGAGGCCACAGGTGTGCTCTTGTGCCCTTCCCAGCAGATTGTGCCTTAGTGACTTCTGACCCATCGGCCACAAGAGACTCATTGTTGAATGAACTTACCACTGAGGAGTTATGGCTGAACGTCTTCAATGTTTACAACTAGGCCCAAAAACATGGATGAAATCAATCATGTTTATAATTGCCTCCCTGCACCAGGTAGACTTTCTGGCTTCTGTGCAAATAAAAGGGGCTTTCTCCCATGTACTCGCCTTCCCAAACCATCAGAAATCATCGCTAGAACTGACTCATCGCTTGGAGGATCTGGCTGCTGCACGCAGAGGTGTCCCAGGACCTGTGTCACAGGTGGGGGAAGCCAAATTTGAACCTCCTGGCCTTTAGGTTCATCAATAAACTAGACGGCTTTGTATGCAGATTCAGGGATCCACTGGCAGAAGCAGTGAATGCTTTGGTGAAACTTTTTATCTTTTCTGCTCTTCAGGATCAAGATGGAAAGCATTCAGGTTATCCTCATTTCTCTGTATTTACCTAGATGGATGTGGTACGCTGACCTAATAAGACTTCTAGCAGACACACTGTGGCACGTTGCAGATCGCCTGGATCTACTGTCCAATAGCCAATTTGCCTTCCTGCTTCTCAGTTGCTGGCTTTAGTGGCATGACTGTTGAATCCCAGCTTCTAAAGGAAGCTCAAAGCTAGAAGGTCCAATTCCCCCAAGGTCTATCATCAGAAGTTGAAGGTTTACTACACTTGGTGTGAGTCCAGGGGCCTCTAGGATTTTCTCCATGGATGAATTTTCATCTTCCTGCACTTGAGCCTTTACCAACATTTGGCTCCTGGTACCAAAACGTGCTCTGCACTTCCTTTATAGGCATTCCTCCAACTGTTCCCATTCACAAAGTTTATTTCCTTGTAGCCATCAACTCTGTGAGGTCAGTGTCTGGACTGGTGGCCTTCTCTTGCAAAGAGTTTTAGTCTTTCATAGGGACAAGGTGGTGTTGTAGCCCTGGATTTCCCTCTTGCTTAAGGTAGTTTCTGCCTTTCACTTTAAGTAAAAAATTGTTCATCAAATTAAAATGTCCCTCTCCATTGTCTGGATGTGGTTTGGGTTGTGCAAGTGTATCTCTCAACCACCGCTTCTTTCAGAAAGACTGATTTCCTTTTTCTCACTCCACATAGGCCCCAGAAGGGTGCCCCAGCTTTCTCATTCCACCATCTCTAGATGGCTCAGACAGACCATCATTCAAGCTTATAGTATTAATAATCTGTTCCACCCTTTCCTGTCAAGGTGCACTCTACTATATCTGTGAGTGCATATTGGGCTTTTCAGCATCAAGCCTCTGTTTCCCAGATTTGCAATACTGCCACCTGGTTATATTATTATATCATTTTTATTTTGTTTAGTAAATTTCTGCCCATGTGCACCTTTCCTGTGCTAGATAAAAATGAATCCGACCAGCCAACATTTTTACATTTTTTTTTGTTTTGTTTGTTTGTTCGTTCCTCGTCCATCAAGTTGAAGCTGACTGTAGTAAACTGTGATAGGTTATGTTGGTTTAATGTCTAGATGGAACCAATATGGCTGTTGATTTTTATATAAGGACATAAAGGATATGGTACTTGAAAGGGAAAAGTTTAGCTTTTTTTTTAATAGCAATATAATATAGCAAATATAATATAAATAATATAACAATAGCAAAATTGTATTTTAAAGTATTACTAACCTGTGCAAATAAGGTAAGTGTATTGGTGGACTTCTTAATGACCATAGGAATTCCCTGCTTGCCACCATGCTATCGGAAGTTTTATTATATCACAGCACTTGCTAGGAGGATGCTCTGAGCCACCGTTTGGGGGCTATCACGTTTCTTAGTACAATAGAAAAAGTGTTCTATATTTATACAGAATGTCCATGAAAATCTTGCGACAATGCACTCCGGCCCATCGCTGGAGTGCTTTCTCATTAGATTTTGAGCGCCTAGCTATCCCAAGAGGCAATTTCATATTACCTGCTCTGTGTTAAAAAAAAAAAAAAGAAAATGTTTTTACATCTTATCAATGAATAATTGCCTTAAAGACAATGCAAATGAAAATATGGGATGCATATAAGACAAATATATTCTTATTAGGACAATGCAAAGAGCAATGAAGATTGAAGAATACAATATTTTTCCACCATGCTGCATTTTATATCGGATTGTTTTTGATTGCCTTTTCAGAGAAAATCCAATCGTGGGGAAAGGATCATAGCAGACACAAGAACCCGGGCTATAGAACTGGAACAAAGTAATGCCAGAAGATAAATTCACAGCCACAATCAATGCTGGAGTTTTTAACAATGTGGCAAGAACTTTTACACCTGTTTTGCAGGAATAATTCTGAAGACCTGGGAGAAAATAGCTAAAGCCCTGAGAAAATGGAGTCAGTATCTACTAGCAGAGCCAGATATTGATTTTTTCTTGGCCTGTGACAACCTTTACACTGCAGGCAGTGCCATGTATACATACAGATGCTGCCTTTCATTTCTCAGTCACATCCCCCAGGAAGTCACACTTCACGTTTGAGTTGTCTTTTCTCGACTTAGCTATTGAGACTGTAATCACTGATAGAAGAGGCCACTCGCATGAGTGTTTAGAAGTCCTGTTAGGTGAGCTTAGCGTCGTACAATCACACACAATCCAGATAAGCCCCCCCCCCATGTCTCATTCCGTGAGCAACCCGGGACTGAGTGAGAAGTGTGATTGCCAGTTTACAAGGAGTTGTGGTTCAATGATGGTTGAGGAGTCCTGGCAGAAAGCCACATTGGACTGTACCACATATCCCTGCACTAGACAATTCAGGGTATTCAGACCTGTTTTCCTTTAAACGGTACACATTGATTTTAATGTTATTTATTTTTTTTCCTGCTTGCTAATTTTCTTTTCATTTTCACCTTTTCAAGTGAGTATTTCCCCAATAATGTTTTTATGGATGACCTGATAAAAGCACAGGCACAATGGCACACTTTCCTAATATATTCAAAGCTGAAGCAAGACCCAAGGCGCTTTGCTTTGGTCTTCTAAAACCTCTGTTAGCCTTTTTTTTTTTTTTATATATTAAGGTGTATATACACGCATCATAGATATTTCTAGATGCTTCCAGTCACAAACTGGACCTTCTGCATCAGTCTTTTGATGTTGCAGTCCTCTGTAAACTAGTTAGTTTCGTTAACCGGGTTTTAGGGCTAAAGTGAAACTTGCCTGGTACTTCAGGACCGTTTATGTAGTAAACTGGAACACAGGCAGACCCTCGTTTTGCTGCTGTTTACATCCCCTCATAATAAAGTTTAAACTTCAGTTATGATAGTACTCCTAGCGGAGAACTGCATCAGAACTGATCCCTATTGTGATGATGGTTGTCTATGTGAGTGCAGGGTCTCATGCATCTTAACCGGGATAGAAGTGATAGCAATGACGCAGTACAAGTATTAGGGAGCTGTGGAATTCTGAGGTTTAAAAAATATATATCTTTCTTAAATCAAAGAGGATGTACTGTGTGCCAAATTTCACCTGTAGGTGGCACTGCATATGAAATCTAGATGTTTAGCTCTTTCCATTTGTACTTCACAGGTGGGACAGAATAGCTGGGCAACTATCAAAGCTTGGAACGGCCCTTTTATAAAACGTTCTCAGCAGTTGTAATGCCCATCATGCCTTCTATATAAATATGTGCTTTGGTCAAGCCTTGAAGAACCTACTATTAGTCTTACAAGTAACAAATCTGTTGTAACGATATAACACAATTAAGCCAGAAATGTCCATCCTGCAAGTTACAACCAGAAATACAATCTCACAATTGTTCTTTGGGGCCTGTGACCACTTTTGATGTACATTTTAATGGGAAGGTCATATTTTGGGATCCAAGAACAATGAGAACCAACACTTGGGGGTTGACACCACTGTTTTATGCAGGTGTAGGGTTGATTTTTTTTTTTCTTTTTAATGAGCAATATTTGACAGGGGAATGTAAATATCCCTTATACGTTGTACTGAAAGCATACACAACAAAATAATGGAAAAATGTGTGTGGAATGCCAGTATCTGCAATTTTACCCATGCAACTTCAGGAAATGTCATAACCTTTTGTCCATGTCCTGTGTAGAGTTTAAAACATTTAATATTCTGTCCTAGGGCTTATCAGATTGTGCATGCTGATGGTCAAGGTGGAGTCTACATAAATTGCTGAGAACACCATTTTTTGGGACCCTCTATGTTTTTTAAGCTTTAGGTAGGTGCTATAAGAGAGGTTCCCTAAATAAAAGGGTGCATTTTCCTTAACAGTGTTGAAAACCAAATCCACATATTAATCTGGTCTTCTAACTTCATCTAAGATTACATTGGTCAGTCTAGTTACCGCCCTAATATGATTATTTTCTGCACCAAACAGTGATGCTTTCAGTTGGGGGCCCCATTTTTTTAGAGAACTTTCTTAAAGCATTCTTATCCAATAGTCTGGTGTGCAGGGCTGGAATCTTGTCTTGTACTAACCATAACTCATGTGATAGCAGGATATTGAGGGCACATTCACACCAGCACCGATGGGCTGTCTTTCCCAAGGCAGTCCCACTGGAAGGACAAGGCAGATGGTTTGAATTCATACCAATGCACTGCAAAAAAAGAAATAAATAGGCGTTGATGAACAGCGCGCTGTGACACACTGTAAGGAGTCACAGGTCATTGCAGTGCGTGGTATAAGGTATAAAAGGGTAAAAAATGCACTGGAACACTTATTAAAGATGCATTGCACTGAGCAACTGTTTAAAAACACTTGACAGCATGTGGGAATTATAAACATGGGATATGGTGTGAATGAGCCCAAAGGAAAAACAAATGTTAATTTATATGTTAAAAGTGTCCTTTTTAGAATATTTCTGCCAAGATCAACCCAGACGATCTGCATCGCCAATGCATTCATTGTACATGGAGAATATATGTGAGATAATTGCTCCATTGATTAGGTGTTTCGATTTGAATACACCAATCTCGTGTTCATTCAAAGTGATTATATATGGCTGCATCTACCAATATGTTCCTGTATCTATCTTAAGTTCAGTTGGCTAGGTAGCCCAGTTCATCAGTTGGGTCCAAAGTACATTCATCATAATTGTGTCCCCAGAGATGACCACTTTAGACCATCACTTTACATTTTCCTGAGCTGCTGGTACAGTGTTGAGAATGCTCAGACTTTGCACAGGCTCTTATCATAGGAATAGCCTTCTATAATGCACCACTTTTCCTTACCACTCGGAGCACTTTAGTAATCTGCTCTGTCCAGATTACATGTGTCATTTTATGTGTTTGTTTTCTTTTTTTTAATATAAGATGCATAATGTATCAAGTTATTTTCTTTTAAGATCAGTTCCATGATCAGTGCTGTAATTTCTTTCACAAAAAAAAAAAAAATTTACATTGAAAAAAAAAGTTTTAGCATATGTTTTGAAGACCAAAGATGCTTTCTATTCGTCATGTATATATTTATTTTAAAGCCGTTCTTTCAGTGTATATAAGATAAGCTTTGCTTTGTCTACATTAAACACAGGTACTACCTTACTCGTATTGCTTGCTCGTATAGCTGGGGGAGCTCTTGTATTGGAAACCATTTGTCATACATGTGATATATACATGGTAGCCCAGCAGGCAGTACAGGGGTTAAAGGACAAACAAGTCTAATATGAAAGTTGCTATGTATGAATAGATTACCAATAGCAGCAATATGTTTGTAGGATCTGTCAGATGTTACACAGGTTTTTTTTATTTATTTTTTTCCAGTGCTTTTATACATTAGGCTAGCTCATAATGACAATAGTTTATATAGACATAGAATAAAAAGTTATAGCTTGAGGTGGCCCTTGCATAACTCAGTATTTGTAGGCATTGCAGCTGATTCGATGCTCAAATGTAGGGAAGAATTTACTTGTCAGCAAGCTATCATGAGAAGGAAAAATGCCTTTTGTTTCTTGAAAGCTCATGATCGGTAGAACCTTTCCCAGCTGCTGAGATGGTGAGAGATCCATCTTCCCATTGCCAACTTAAGGGGAAAAAAGGCTAAGTCCCCTCTAAAACGAATGTCTCATTGATCTAAAAAACTAAAACATTTGCTTGGATATCTGCATTGTAAACCTCCTAGTGATTCCCTGGCACCGACTGCCAGGGGAGTGGGATCAGGAAAGTAAAAGTCCTTTACTCAATACCCCTTGGCCTAAATGAACAGATAACCATTACAGTCCGGCGGTAGCTCCACTCAAAGGGTAGTTTTTGTTTTTCCTGGAAAAATGATGTAAGATTAGGTTCAGTGTTTAGAGTTAGGGATGCACCGATACCAGGTTTTCAGTATCGAGTACAAGTACCAATACAAGTTTTTTAGGTAGTCCCATCAAGGAAGCCGGGTGGCGTGTAATGACTCGCTACCCGGCTTCCGATAAGCTGGGAAGCCGTCTCCATGCTCCCTCGTCACCAGGTGACGAGGAAGCATGGAGCCAGCTTTGTGGCCTATCAGGAAGCCGGGCAGCGTGTAATGACTCGTTGCCCAGCTTCCTGATTGGCCAGCTTTCCGGCCAATCAGGAAGCTGGGCGGCGAGTCTTTACACGCTGCCCGGCTTCCTGATTGGCCATGGAGCCTGGCAACGTGTAATGACTCACCACCTGGCTTTCTGATACCGGAAGTTCCAGTATCGGGAGCATTTGGGCGCGTATGAGTACTCGCCCAAATACTCAGTATCGGCACCGATACTAGTCATCCTTATTTAGAGTAGAGGGGTTATATTTCCAGGTGTTTCCCCCTATTGTATTCTTCAGAATACAATACCGTATTAGAACTCCAACAACTACAGTGATAACCACCATAGCTGCCTGGGTGCCACCACCTGGTAATTTCATTCTCCAGCATCTATCAAAAAGCATAATATAGTTTTGGGCGGACTGAATCCATTCTAAAATGAAGCCAAGCTTGAGAGTAAGGCAAGTGTTGAAGGAAAAAATGCTGCTTGAATTTTGGAGAGAAATTGTTGCTGACGAGGAGAAGAAAACCCATATTGTTCTTCATGCATGTAATTCTTTACACTGTTTTTTCTAGAATGTGTCCACCATCTGTAACCATCGAAGACCGTGCACCATGAATAATCTTTTGTATGAAAGACAGTAATGACATGCTCAGTTTGTACATTCCAAGAATGCACAAGAAACACTGTAAATAATGTAGACATCCTGTTTCCAGGTGCAGGTGACATGAATACATATTGTATATTTTGGACACCTTAATATGGAAAGATGGATGTAAGGAAAGATTTGTTTGTCTGATGGGAAAAGGCTATACAATTCCAGTTCTACAAATCCTTGTTCTGGTGACATTTCTCTGTGGTTGATCTTTCTGTGATGAATGTCTTCAGAATGGCCCTATTTTTTTCTGACCTCCTAAACAGCCTTAAAAAGTGTCACTTCAAGGACTCTAATTTAGTCCTTACCTTGTTTAGCAGAATTTTTCTCTCGTTTGTGTGTCATATGTTCTAATATCTGTCTATATATGTACATAGGACAACTCTAAGTAATCATTAAAGTTCTGTTCCTACTTAGATCCCATCCAATGTGGATTTTTTGCAGAATAAAAGGACAAGTTCAGGTTTGGATAAAAAGTCCCATTTTCTCACTCCCTACTCCCCTAATGTAATTTTAAGTGAACACCCCTTCACCAGGTTCCCACTTACCCCTCTCTGGCAAATGGCAGCCTCTTGTGGTGTTTACAACCTCCTTTCAGAAATCTTTTTGGTGTTGCCTGCACAGTAACTTCCCATAGAATTGAATGGAGCATTACGGGTAAGTCACATTCAAGTTTATGGAATGTTACTGCGCAGGAAGCACCAAAGTTTCTGAATGGAGGATGTAAACCTAGAGGTAGCCTCTTCCCGATCTGAGAGAG